TTGTTTTGTTTTTTTAATTTGGACTCCACACAAAATAAGAACATATACAAGTGCAGAGAATGATAGTGGTGTCAAAATAAGTTTTAAAGCTCAGTCAGCTTTGTCTTGAAGGAATCAACCTCTTTCCTACTCATACTCCTGGAAGCAATTTAAAATGAGAACCATCGAGATAAAGGTATGGTTGTCCCAAATACTGTGATTTTTATTTTTTTTTCCTAACTTTCTCTTTTCCTGGACATGTTTTGTTCAGAGTTGTTGCTGTTCCCATTTTTGAGAGTTTGGCTGTTGAATGTCAGGAGAGTATTTAATTCCTTATTCTTGTATATCTGAACAATCCACTCAGGAGGTCAAATTAGTTAATTAAAGAAGATTTCCTCTCTGCTGGTCTGAAGTATGCTCATTGCAACAGCAGGCAGATACAGTCTGAAACAAATGTTAGTGGGGAATCTCAGGTTGTTTCAGACTGTGGTATTCCAGGAAAATGCTAACGCTGCATACAGGCACTGGGAAACCTGGCGGCCCTCTGGGGAAATTCGAAGTGGTTTTTACCAGGCTTCTAGCAGATGCTGTTCAAATATGTTAGGCCAAAACTGGAGTGTCTAAAGTTAGACTAAGTACAGATTTAGGAGTCTTACTAAATGAAGAAATCATGACGTATGTTACTGTCTATCTTCAGCTCCCGTTTAAGTTAGTGGGATTTGCATTTAATCAACAGCCTAAAAGGTCAGTCATCTTTTAAATAGAAACACAGTCTCGGTTTCAAAGACCAGGAACCTGTAGTTTAGGCTTTTAAGAGTCTTGCAATGTGTGAGTATTATCTAAAATTGATTGAGGAAGAGAGAGCATGGTAAAGCCCGTTGGTCTGCCTGAGCTGAGACTGACTTTTTAACCAGATGTGGTAGAGAGCAGAGAGAAGGAGAAATCATATATTGCTACTTGGGTTTCTCCCAGATTAATTAGGGAAAAAAAGTTAACTTGTTGCTTTTCATATCCCTAGATGATGTTATTAGAGTGTATAGCCTGGTCATGCCCCAAGAAAGCAAATTTCAAATATAATTATATGCAAGAGAAAAAAACCCCACATACTTTTGAGAAAATCCCTTGTCCTCATCTTGCCAAGAGAGCTCTGTTGGCACATCTGTATAACATCTTTCAAATTCTGTTGACTTCTGAGATCAGTTTTTATTTTGTCAATAGGTTGCAACTTTTAAGAAGTAACTTTAAGGCTGCTGCCCCTGAATATATGCAACAGTTACAACTGCAGAATATATACAGCAGAATACAACAGCAGTTGTATTTTGGCATGTATACATATTGTATATAAACATGCCATCTTGAAATGCTTTAGTTGGACTTGGCAGCTTATCAGGCCTTTATGCATTTTACTTAAATGAAGTCTCAGGAGTATTCTCGCCTGTGTGAGACTATTATATGGTGTGCATATATACTGATATGCAATATAATTTAAATTAACTTTTTGTTCTGTTTTTGATAGCCATTGAATTATGTGTAGATCGACGGGTTGTGTCAATTTGCATCTAATGTTCAGCTTTTCAGATATTTCACTTAACTTTATGAAAGACTGTACCATTGAAATTGAGGCTGAGCTGGCAGTGACCCTCCCTCACAATCCCAGCAGCAAACTGCACACTAGGCCCAGCGTGAAGAGGGACCCATCTGCTTGTTACTTCTGGGGCTGCACTGGAGGGGTGTTTAGCAGGGAGAAGAGAAGGTTAAGGAGGAATCTGCAGGCTCTTTCAACCTGAAGAGAGGGCCACCCTCTTCCCAGACATTCACAGCAAAAGGGGAAGAGGCAACGTCACAGCATCAAGTGAATTTCATAAGAGAAGATTCTTCATCATGAGAGTGAGTTTTGAGCTCTGTAACTGGTGGCCCAGAGGCTGTGGGCTCTCCCTCCTTTGAGACTTTCAAAACTTGCTTTGGCAAGGCCCCGAGGAACCTGATTAAACTTGAAAATACTTTCTATGCTAAACAAGTGTTTGGACCAGATGACTTGCAGGGATACCTTCTAACATTTTTTCTTTTTTTTTTTTTTCCTCCTATGATTCTTTATCAAGTTGAAAGCAAGTTTTATGTAGAACATTACTCACTTCTTAATGGGAATATGTAAACTGATGCGTCTGCAGTCCAGATTTCATACACCCTTCTGGAATGCCTTTAAATCCTTGATTTAATGATCTGTTTGAATGTTCATCCTAATCTCTTTCATGCTGTAGATGCTGCATAAACTTAATTTTATTTTTTAGTTTGTTTGTGAAAAACACTGTCAGAAATAAACCTCATAGTTGACCCGGAAGGCCTTGACTGACCTGAAGGTTTGTGTAGGGGTTGATATCTGTCTGCTAAGGTGGCTGTGCTGCCGCAGATCTGTTTTGCACACAGGCCAGTGCTGCGACATCATCTTTCTTTTCACTAGAAATACTTGCCATAGGTCAGCTTTGCTGTTGTAGTACTTTTTGAATTTAACTCCATGGGATAATTCTGTCTTGACTTGGTGCCGTTGGCTGTGTAAGGTCTATTGATGCCGACCACCAGATGAAACCACTGTTTCTCCAAAGTAATTAATTCTTGTGAAATGAGATTTTATTGGAGCTATTGTGTTTCTGCTGCATGCACTATTGCTCCTTCTGTATAGAAAGAGGTGTTGATTTTTTTTTTTAGGAGGAAAATATATTTAAAGTCTACCAACATATTGCTAATTTTGTCATGTTTTGCTGTGGGATCTTCTGCTATGACACGAAATAACAGTATAATACTTGAGAGCTTTTGTCCTCGTAAAAAGTGGAGAGCTTTCTGCAGAAATTACTGGTATAAAACTCAAAGCAGCAGCAGCTCCAAGCTTTCCATACTCACTGTTTATTCTCTTAAGATAAATCATTTGACTTAGAGTTTGCATTACTGACAGATCAAGCTGCCAGTGTAAACATCGTAGGATTGAGCATTTTGAAAGATGTGTGCAGTTTTGTGAAGGAACTAAACCCGCAAGTATCCGGAACCAATGTAATGTTGCGTGTGTTCAAATAATATTTTGCAATGTTCATGAGAAAAGGAAGTAAGTATTTAGAAAACTATTGGTGAAATGGTAACAGTTTATGTTTCTTAATTTTTGTTTACTGAAAATTATTCTTGACACATGGAGCTTTTACTTGAATTTCCATGGAAAGTTGATCCTGGAAGTAGGAGAGACACACTTGTGTTACTGTACAGCCAAAAAATACCATTATTTATAGTTGGGTAACCTTTCAGTTTACTTCTGACAGTTGAATTGGTGCTAGAGTGAAAATGTTTTGGTTTTTAGTCTCAGAGTTTGGGGTCCACTTGTGAAATACCCAACATCCTTAGTTTTTAAAGGAAATAGTTAAATAGTTTTCAGCTTCTGAACATATGTCCATTTATTAAAGATGGAACTTGTAAAATTTAGAATCTTAAACTGATCTTCACCACCCTTCGTTAAAGTGCTTTTCCTTTCTTGGTCCTCACTGTCAAATTATCATTTTCTTTGTTAACATTGTGGGGTTGATGATACATTTTGAGCAGATGTCCTGCTGGGAGGATGCTAAACTTTCATAAAAAGTGAGGGACCAGCTGCTTTTTTACTCAACAAAACCAGTTTGGTTTAGGTGAGATCCTGCACATCCAGTCCAGATGAATAAATTCCTAGTAAAATGTAGTACTTGTGCCTGCACTACTGAGTGTTGGTTATTCTTTCTCTTGAAATCTGAGGTTTTTTTCTCCACGTGTAGACCTTTGCAGACACTTGTTGGTCAGTTCAGTTCTCCTGTAACTTCAATTAACAACATATTGTGCACAGAGAACTTTAGGAGAGCAAGTAAATAACAACAGAACCAAAAGGTATCTTTCTTTTATGTAAATATACTTGAAAATATCATTGAAAAATTTATGCAACTTTGTATAGATCTTACTACAGAGAAAAGTAGAAGATTCTATTCCCTACTACTTAAGTGTTAGGTTTGGAAGATCTTTGTTTCTTGTTTTCTGTAAAGATCTAACCATGTGCTTGGCTAACACTGCCCAACAGCCAGTATCTGTAGGGTGAAACACATGTTACTTAACTGATTCAGGTTTTTGAAGATACTCTATACTAATTTATGTACTGAAGGAATTGCTCTGATACTTGGATACAGAGCAAAATTTACTTATTACAAAGCTGTGGGAAACCAAGTTTAAAGAAAAGGAGATACTGATTATGTGTTTGTATTATAGGTCTTGGCAATAACGTTTGACTTTACTACATTTAATAAAGACAGTGGGAAATTTAATAATACTGATTTTTTTGTTTGTTTAAAAAACTTGGTCACTGTGTAATCAGGTTTTACATAAAATTGCAGAAAATCAAAAGATGTTAAAAATTCTTTCAAAGCATCACTTTTACGTGTTTATGGGCGACTTTTAAACAGGGCAAACTGTGATGTTTTGTAGCTGAAGTTTTTTGTACTATTTGGTGTGAAAGGACAGTGCTAGAGGGGGAGGATGGTGAACAGTGAGCTGGGTGAGTTATCAGATACAGATGGTAAAAAGCAGATTTTAGCTTTCTCCTAATTATTGCATTAGATGTATTTAGCTGTCATTCCACCAGGATGAAAAATTTCTCGGGAGCACAGTAATTCAGCAACGCAGCTGACAACATTTGTGAAAGATTTTTGTCTTTTTTTTAAAGTGGTTGTGAATTAGACTCTGTAGAGCAGGTGCTTTGAAGCTGTAACTTAGAATTTCTTTTATCCATTGATTCATTTAATTTACTAAAACATTAGTTGTTGGTTCGTAAGGTTTAACATAATGTATTGAGAGCTATTTCTTCGTTGTGTCCTACTGAAACATTTAAACAGACTATTTTGTTCATATTCCTGAGAAATTTGAATAGGTTTAGAAAGTGTTTTGTTTCGTGTTTGTTGTGAGTTTAAATTTCTGGTTTTGTCTGAGGTTACTATGTGATTACAACAGCTGCTCTTCCTCCACAGGCCTATGAAGAGTACACCAGCAAGCTTGATGCTCTACAGCAGAGAGAACAGCAGTTACTGGAGTCCATGGGAAATGGAACTGATTTCTCTGTCTCCAGTTCAGCTTCAACAGACACAGTTGCATCATCTTCCTCCTCTAGCCTCTCTGTAGCACCTTCATCCCTTTCAGTTTATCAAAACCCTGCTGATATGTCACGGAATAACCCCAAGTCTCCACAGAAGCCTATTGTTAGAGTCTTCCTGCCCAACAAGCAAAGGACTGTGGTGAGTCAGTTTCTATTCACATACTCTTTAAGCTCAGTATTTCCTGTGTCTTTCTCCCTCTGTATGCAAAAGTTAAGAGCTGAAAAAATACCGGTGTGGAGGTCAGAGAGGTGTCACGATCACTGTGCTCTTCCACACTCCGTTGTTTTGATCTGTTGAATGTTTTCGGCAGGATTAACACAGAGAAGTCCATTATAGCAGTAATGCAGAATAGAAAACTCTCAGGAGTTTTATAGCAATGAAGATAACTCCAGAAATATTTTCTCAAGTCAGCTTTCTTGGATAAATAGTAATTGCCATTTTACAATTGTTGGGAAGGGGCAGGAAGCTCTGTTTCCTGTATTGTACAAAAGTATTGATTAGTTAAACAGGCCAAGACTGGGGAAGTGTTTTCTACGTTGTCAAAGTTACTGCAAGCCCTGAATGCTTTAGAGCAAGAACGAACCTCCTGCAGCTGAGGAGGCCTGTGCAGAATCACAGTTTTTGTTTGTTATTTTTCTTTTTCTCCCCACTCACTTTGGTGTGTTTTGTGTGGGGACCCTGATGCCATCAGGATCCATCCCAGTGTAGAGAACTGACATGAGGAGGGACAGAGTTGCTATTGGGAGGGTCAAGAAGTGTTGCCTGCAAACTACTCAAAACCTGATGTTTATCAATTTTGACAATGTTACAGTGGTTCTTGGAGTCTTGGAAGAGCGACTGATTTTTTGCTGGCTATTCAGTTATCTGCTGTAGGAGGGACTTCTTTATCAGTTAAGAGCTGCCAACCAAAGAGCCTTGAAATGTGTTTTAGAGTAATACACTACAAACTGTGATACATGAAATTACTGACAAGCCGTAGTCTTGGCTCTATTTTGCAAGGCGGGGCATACTCTGAACTTAGCAGAGAACTGTGTTTCCAGAGAAGGAGGGAGATGAATGGACAAGCAGTGTCCATGCCAAAACAGTGCTTTTTGCAGCAGTCAGACAGGTATCAGCTGTCTCTGGGCCGTGACTTCCATCCTTCCCCCACCCCACTAAACAAAAGACTCACAGTGAGGGAAATTGGTTTCACCTGATTTTTTTTTAATATTGCTTAGTTGTTAAAGATATCACTAAAGATTGAAAGTACTATTTGGTTTTGGACCTAGAGAATGGGAGTTAGATGTAAACTGTGACCGTTGCGCAGATGTATAAGTGTTAAACCAGGTGATTTTGATGTCTCTTTTTTGAAGTATGTCTAGGCACATAGTACTACCCACATAGTGAAATCTGAAGAGAAGGTATTGGATTTTGGTATCTTCATGTGTTCTGTCCCACCCTGCCTGGCTGTTGGAGCTGCAGCCCTCGTCATGGGGCTCACAAGTTGGTTTTGTTTGTCTCCTACATTGGGTAACAGGATATCACTTCCTGTGTTGTTTCTGCATTGCCTTTGCTGTCTCTCCTGCGTGTTCTCTTGTCCTCCTCTCTGAGCCACATGGTATAATTCTGTTCATATTCTTTTTCCCCCATTTGCAATATTCTCATTCTGCTTTATCTGTCCTCATTTCTGCCGCCCTCTCAATCCTGTTTTTTTTTTTTTATCTGCACTGAATCTAGGTGTGCTTTCCCAGTTAGGGGAAGCAAATGTTGTTTAACTTGGGTGTAGTCGGAGAGGCTCTTGCTTCTGTCCTCAGCTTTCTAATGGAGGCTAAAAGCTATTTCCCTTACAAGTCTAACCCTGTATCTTGTTTCCAGCTTGATAACTGTGGAGCACTAAGCATGAAGCTTCAGGAAAATCTGTAGTCTTGGGCTGTGATTTAAAAAAAAAATTTAAAAAAAAGGACCAACAAAAGAGGAGACAGGCTACTGGTGTAGTCAGGGTTCCTTTCATGTCAGATGTGCTATGTCTGTAGATACATGTGGATAAAGGAACATCTGCCTGCAGATGCAGGAAGGCATGAGCTTACTTGTGGGATCGCTGGAAGTTCAAGTTGACAGGATTCAGCTTTGTATGCTGTATAGCAAGGTCCAGGTCAACTCCAGTTCTGCTGGGACTGGGTTTGGGGATGAAATTGTTATTTCAAATAAGTAGTTGGACATATATCACTCAGGATATGTTGTTGGGAGGGACACACAAGGATCATCAAGTCCAACCCTTAGCTATGCACAGGACCATCCCCAAGAGTCACACTGTGTGCCTGAGAGTATCATCCAAATGCCTCTTGAGCTCTGTCAGGCTTGGTGCTTTGACCACTGCCCTGGGGAGCCTGTTCCAGTGCCCAGCCACCCTCTGGGGGAAGAACCTTTTCCTAACACCCAACCTAAACCTCCCCTAACACAACTTCAGGCCATTTTCTCTGTTTCTGTCACTGGTCACCACAGGGAAGAGATCAGTGCCTGCCCCTCCTCTTCCCCTCACAAGAAAGGTGTTGACTGCAACGAGGTAAGGTCTGGTCAGCAGATACTGCAAATTAATGGTTTGGTTTTGGTTCAGGGAGAGAGCTGACTTCTTTTCACTTCAGTTTTACACACTGCTTGGATCTAGTTGCATTACTAAGTTGAACCTTTTTTTTAATACACTAGTAAATTAACTATGTTTTAGAGTTGGGAAATGGTTCTTATAGGAAGTCTGAGTGTTGGGGTTATTGGCCTTGTAGCTGAAGTTCATTTCTCTGAAATTTGAGACAGTGCTCATGTTACTGAGAAAGTCAAGAATTTCTTGTATGGTGACTCTTAATGTAATTACTTTGTTTTCGATATTTATTGATCCTACATGTGGTCTGTTGAAAATTAAGGAAATGCCAGAAGCAAACACAGTTCAGAAGGAATTACAGTGGCTCACTGTATCGTGGGGTGCATCAGGTACAGCATCAGTAGCTGGTCGAGAGAAGTGATTCTCCCTCTCAGTGCAGCCTCACCTCGAGTGCTGTGTGCGTTTTTGGGTGCCACAATATAAGATTCCATGATTTTCAGTGCAGTTTTAATGGCCAGTAGTCAGATGATGGGTTACCAGCCTAAAAAAAGCACCCAGCATTTTTCAGTGAACACTGAGATTCTGTGCCGTAGTAACTTCCTTCGTTCTCTCAATGGATGGGGAAGTGTTGCACACATCTTAGTCTTCCTTCATAATCTCTGGCTTTAAAAGCAGACCTGTTGTGTCTCACTTGTGCCCATTAACTGAGCCATTCGCTATGATGGTAGTTCAGGGCGTTCAGATACACGGAGTAGTTTGTGAGAGGTTGAAGTTGGAAGGAGATTCCTTGTGAAAATATCTGCTATCTGCCATTAAAGCCTTCCCCAAGTCCCCATTCCATGTGACTTGGAAAGAAGGATAACGGGTTTGACAAGCAAAATTGTAGCCAGGAAATGAGAGATACTGTTAAAGTTGCAGTGTTGCAGCAATCTTCTCCCCACCCTGACCTTTACTGCTTTCAATTAATACTCACTTCTGACAGAAAACCTTGTTAATATCTCAATAATATTTTCAGTCTCTGCTTTCAATCACAGCTTCACTTCAGGAGGGAAGAAATGTTGTCAGATCGTAAAGAGTCTATATTTATTTTTGTCTGGAAATGCCATGACAGTTCTTAAACTGACCTAAAGTCACTGGAGTTGAGTTGGTAATGGAGAGCCAACCTCATTATTTATCTTTGATCATACTCTGAAGCAATCCAAAGTACTGCAACAGCCTTCTGCTATTTGTTTAGAGTGTTAAAAATGCAGGAAATGGGGGGGAGTTGCTTACATATCTTACATTTTTGACTAGCAACTGCCTTGTTACTTGAGAGTTATCTACATGTTTTGTTTATTAGTAGTATTGTTTGTGTGTAGGGTCAAGCAAATACATCTGCTGGAGTGGACTCCAATTAGAAAAATAGTTTGGGGGAGCTGATGGAGTAAAGAGAAATGAGACCATGTTGTTCAGTGTAAGTGTTTTTGGTGCAGAGGCAGTGTAGCTGATGGGAAGTTTCTTCGTGTGTGCCATAAGGCAGAGCATTGGACAAACCTTTTCCTAATGTAGGAAAGCCTGGCCGGTTATGTGGTAGAGCCTATGGATGATGATCAATTAGCAGTTTGAAGTCAGCATTTTGATTCATCTGGCTACAGGGCAGAGTTCAAATGTAACATTTCTGAAAGCAAAACATATAACTGGGGTTGGACGTGATGATCTTGGAGGTCTTTTCCAACCCAATCTATTCTATGATTCTATGATTCTATGAACTGTCCTGGTTAACTGGAGGGGAATCAAGGAATGAATAGTGTCAGAAGATTTTTTTTTTTTTTCTTTTCCCTTGTAGTTGGCCTGGAAAGGGATGAAGAAAAGTTTTTCTCTGAACAAACTCTTAGAAGAAAGAACAGATTGAGTGCTCTTCTCTTGGGGGTGGGGGGGGGGAGTGTTCCTCCCCCTGTAATGCAGAGAGATATATATGTGTACTTCATCCTTCCTCAGTGGCTTGGGTCAATTGACATGTCCTTTGGAGACGCATTCCACGCAGATGTGACCAGGAAAAGTCAGTGCAACTGGGTTTGTTCTATTTTGTTCTAGGCCAGAGAGGACGGTGTTGAAATAATAAAAGTGAAAGATGATGAAAGTCTACCTGAGATGAGAAGTTGTTTTGCAGAACAAATTGATGAAGCTTATCCAAATTGTGGCAGAATTTACGGAGATATTAGTTCAAAACTTGTTTGGGCTAGGAGTATAAATGGCTGTGGTGTGGAAAGTAATAAATCTGCTAATTGAGAAAGAGCTTTTGGGTGTGGAAGGGAAGTAGGAACTCTGATCTCCAGCTGGCTGCTGGAAGTCTGAGAGATTGTTAGATACTGAGATTTGGTGGAAGGGAGGTAGTCTTGAATGAATGTAGATGACAGCGTGGTGTCATAAAAAAAGCATGTTACATTATTTACTGATGAGACTTCTGAGAGAATGCATGGAGAATGTAGGAGGCAGAATACAGTGAAAAAGTTTTTAAAATGAACTGCAGGAGTTCCAGGCAATGAGCATAAAAAGCTGTCTATGTGTGAAGATAACAGGAATATGG